CATCGAAACCTGGTCCCATGGTCAGTCTTCGAGCCAGATTCAGCATTCGATCGCCACTGGACTGTGTCATGCGTCGAGCAGCCGAGAGTTCCTCAGTTGCTCTATTCAGCGCTATACTGAGGCGACGAACTTGGGCTGGATTTACACCTGTAGCGAGACTGTCGGCAGAAAAGGTGAGAGTCGTGCCTGGCACCCTGGCAGAGATGGCGGTTAAAGTGGATGCGCGTTTGCCTCCATTCTGCGCAGCACCCGGTAAATCCTCCTTTGAGCTCTTCTGCTCTCCTTGCGACATGTCCGCCTGCATGGGCTGCTGCGTAGTGCAGGCTTTTATGACATCTGGACTGCCCTCTGGGGGCATATTAAAGGCAATTTCGGCAGCCTTGAACTTGTTGGGCATGCTGCGATTCCAGAAACAGGACTGCAGAATCAGACCACAGGCTGCAATCAGGAGCAGACAACCGGCCACAAGGAAGGAATTCACATGCAAAAAGTGCCCCGTGATAATACCAAGAATACCCAGTACTATGCTCGCCAGAGGTATAACGCACACCACAAAGAAATGCAGTATTTTGAGGTACTTTCGTAGACGTTTTCGCCGACGTGTGCGCTTGTGCACATGTCGCAGGTAATCCAGGTGTGCGCTGGGATTTTCAGACTTTGAGTTCGCCTCATTTCGCTCCTCGGACAGGGAAGTGAGTGTGGACAGTGTCGAGGTGGAGCTGCGACTTAGCAACCCTGATTCTTTTTGCCCATCGTTATCGCAGGGGCTGGTTGATGATTCCGGTAGACTTGGAGAGGAAGTCGTGCACAGTTTGGTGAGGACAGTCTTGCTCTCTATTGTCACACTCTTTGGCATCAGTAAACTAGGATCAGATTTTGACATTTTTACTCCAGTCATAGTTGAGGATGTGAGGCCCAGGGCCGGAGACTGGACAGCCAAAAAACTCGCAGATTCGACACCGACTGCACGACTTTCTGAGTCGCTGTCTTCACTGTGACTGGAACCATCGTAGATGGTTGGCAAGGGAGGTTTGCCGTTTCGGCTCTCTCCATGTAAGGAAACTTGTGTAATATATGGTGGTGTTTGAACATTGGCCATGTTTGCCTCCGCAAAAATTGTCTCGTCATAGCATTGTGCTGGAAGATGCAATGTCGGAGAGGGTCTTTCGTCTGCAAAAGCTTGAACCGTCTATGCGCAAATTATGTGGTACAGTTTCGTGGTTTTTAGACTACTGTGCGTATGCGACAATTCAGGAAGTAACTTAAAGCTGATTGGCTGGTAGACAACTGTCTACGTCATGCCATGCGACCAATCATAGAATTTGCACCAACCGTCTGAGGTCACACAAACGGGCAATGCAGACCGGTTGGGAGGCATACTGATGTCGCTGTCAGACTATAACTGAGAGGCATTCTTACTTGGTTACCTCCATTGTTTTTTCTTAGCATATTTAGGCAAGAAGTCTGTGCCTTTGACGGGATGTAAATTTGAAGGTAACATAATGAGGTCCCGTTGAGAAAATATGATTGGCTTATACCATAAACCAATAAATTTCCATAAAATATGCCCGAGATCTGTTGAGGCTGAAAAAGCCCACGAATTGAGGCAAATGTGTGCATCCCAGGTACGAATGCAGATAGAAAAGAAGAAGGCGTTTCGATCACCTGTCTCCCATAAATTTTGCTTGTCTTTCGTGGAGGCTTTTTATCTCTCACGATGGACTCCAGCAAAAGCCCGAAAGCTTAGACATGTTAGCCTATAATTTCGGTGATCAAAACGCCTTTTCCTTCGGATTCTTAAATAATCCAGTTTGCGTAATTTTTCGATGAATTGGTAGCGTTTTTTTAAGCCACTAAGTGGTCACTTGTCTTCTTGCTTCCAATTTTTTACAGTTAAATTTAAAGAAACTGTTATTGAAATAAGGATAAATTTTAACCAATACTTAGTAGTCATTCAGCTACTGAAAGGGGTGAACTGTGATAAGCAACCTGATGAGGGTATTATTCGGTGTTACTGCAATATGATTCATACAAGAATTAGCGTTTAAGGGTGGTATTTACGTTTGCTTTTTTTACAACTTTACTGTCTATTTGCTGAAATTATTGTAGATGTATGCGTGACCGCAATAAATTGAAAATTTTACCATTTTTTATTATAGTGACTTGAATGAGGGAGGTTTGACTTTATTATCCCTGTTCATTTTCGCTGGCTACATAGTTAAGCAAGCGGAAACGTTTCCTTGAGAAGTGAGTTCTCACTGGCGAGCTGTTTAAAATATGAAGAGGCAATTCTCAATATTATGTTGTAATGCAACAATGCGTGGAATTGTGTGTGTCTAAGATTTGCGTTTCAGAGGATCTCAAAGAAACTTCAGTTCAGAAGTCAAATTGGAAAACGTATGATTTTAGCTTGTTGAAGATTCGCTGAAATCATACTTCAGGCCCTCTTAAACCGACCATTTTTGGAAGAAGGAACCCTAATTTACCTTACTTGACGTTGATGCAATTATCCATCTTCAACTAGTAATATTAAGGG